GCCGCTTGCATGGGTTTGCCAGATTTGCCTGTTATAGCGGTCTGTCCGCGTTCATTAGTTTCCGCTGTCGCCTCCTCCTCCTCCTCCTCCTCCTCTTCCTCGTCCCCCTCCTCCTCCTCATCCTCCTCCTCTGCCCCCTCCCCCCCTTCCTCCTCGGCGCCCCTCTCGGGGCCTCGGCGCCCCCTTGGTGCTGGCGCCCCTGGGCCTCGGCACCCCCAAATCCGAAGCTCCGAAGCTCCTCCCATTCCTCTTCCTCCTCCTCCTCTTCCTCCCCCTCTTCCTCCTCCCCCCCCCCCCCTCCTCCCACAACAACCCCTCCGCCTCTTACTCCGTCTCCTAATCCTCCTAAATCCCATAACGCCCTAACGCACATTCGAAGCGGCCCGAAGCCTCCTCCCCCTCCTCCCTCCCCCCCCCCCTATTCCCCCCCCTCGTCCCCCCTCTCTCCCTATTCCTCCCCCCCGCCCCACCTCCTCCTCTATCCTTTGCGCCTCCTCCTCCTCCCCCTCCCCCCAATCCATCCCCCTTCCCCCCCAACCCCCCCCCCCTCCTCCCCTTCCCATTGGCAGCAGGCTGGATGTTAGATGGATGTTGCCTGGGTGTTGTTTTCATGTTGTTTGTTGTTGTTAGTTGTTGTGTTTGTTGTTTTATGTTGTTGTTTATGCTGTTTTTTGTTGTTTTTTTGTGCTGTCTTGTAGGGCGGGCGCCAGACAACGCCAGACAACACAAACACAACACACAAACAACAACAAACAACAACAAAAAGCAACATGTTGTGTTTGTGTTGTTGTTTTGTGTTGTTTTATGTTGTTTTATGTTGTTTGTGTTGTTTTTGTGTTTGTTTTTGTTGTCTGGTGTTGTCTTCTAGTTTTTCCGTTGTTTTATGTTTCCTCCGTTTTTTTTAGTTTTCTTCTTCCTCTTCTGACTATTGTTAGCCCCCCCCCGCCCTCCGCCACCTCCCTCATCCGTACCTTCCCCGCGACCCCTGCCCAGCGGGCAACCGCTCTCCGTCGCCACCCCCCTCGCCCCCCCCCCCCCCCCCCCCCCCCATCCTCGGCGGGCCAACCGCTTTGCGCTCTCTTCCCTCCTGCCTCCCCATTCTGCTCCTCAGCGGCCCAACCGATTTGCATGGGAGGAGGAGGAGGGGGAGGAGGAGGAGGAGGAGGGGGGGGGAAGGGGGAGGAGGAGGAGGAGGAGGAGGAGGAGGAGGAGGAGGACAGGATAACGATTTCGTCGCAGCCGTTTTTGGCTTCAAGAAATTCTGAATTCGCCCAACCGAATTCGAGAATTCGTTAAATGGCTGCCTGGGATGCTCGCTGCGCCACGCGCGGCGCCCTCGGCCCCGCAGCCAACATGGACGTGTGGCACTTCGCGCAGGACGGCTCCTGGCGGCACCGCTGCTGCCTGCAGTGCGTTCGGAATTGCCGAGCGAGCTTCGGTGATGAGCATCGTTTAACCGAACCCTGCCCCCATCTCGGTGGCCTCGTGTCCACTAGGGGATTTACCCCCCGACATGGGGATATAGGCGGAATACCTGGGGTTTCGGGGTGTATACCCCCATGTCGGGGGCGGCGGGAGGGGGCGGGCTGGTGGGGGGCTACATGGGGTTGTTAGGTTAACCGATACTGAGGTGAGGCGCTACTCACCGTCGACGCGGACACGGCCACGAAGCTCGTCGACGAGCGCCTGGCGATCGCGGCTCAGGCGCGCGCTGCCCAGGACGGCGAGAGGGACAGGCACGCCAACCAGCGGCGACGGCTTCACTGAGTGAATCCGCGCGCCGCGCGTTTCGAATCGGGAGCTGTGCTCCCCGCCTGCACCCGCAGAGAGCGTAGCGGAGGGCGACGCCCCCCGTCGAGGAGGCGCCGCGCGCAGTTCCTCCTCCCCCTCCTCCCCCCTTCCGCGTTCTCCTCAGCGGCGCAACCGCTTTGCTTTGCATGGTCCCTGGGGGGGGGGGGGAGCGGCCGAAACCAGACAGATCAGTGATCTATATGTTTTGGGCCCTCCTCCACCTCTTCCTCCTCGCCCTCTCCCTCCTCCCCCTCCTCCTTCTCCTCCTCCTCAGCGGGCCCAGCCGCTTTGCCTTGCAGTTTTCGCATGCATTTCCTCTTCCTCCTCCTCCTCCTCGTCCTCCCCCGCCCCCCCCTCCTCAGCGGTCTACCCGCTTTGCTCTGCAAATTCAGCGGCGCGGTCGCTTCCCGCGTTCGCGCTTCCCGTTCGCAGCCACTTGAAGGGCTTCCCGAGGCGACTGCCTTCGTCGGAAGTTCCCCCGCGCACGCCATGGCGTCCAAGCGCGTGGTGAAGAAGCGGCGTCAAGGAAAGGTTGCTTCGCTGCCTTGTGACGATGACGGCGATCATGCCGCTTCTTTTCTCATGCCCTCATATCATCTCTCCATCCAGGCGCAGCGGCGTGACCGCTTGGCACCCGACCCCCCTCCCCCGCACCTCTTCAGGCGATACTACTGATGCAGCAGACGCAGCACAGGTCATCGCCAACACGATGATGGCGACCTTGCCCAGCTTCTCCGACGACAGCCCTGCTCCCATGGCACCAGTGGCAGCCCGGAACGCGCTGCAGTCGCTCTTCCAGCTCCAGACCACGGAAGGCAGCCAGGATGCGCCAACCGAAAAGGCGGGAGACGCTGTCGCAGGCAGCCTTCAGCCAGCAGCAGGCGAGCCTGTCGGCGAACCCGCCGACGCGCCCGTCGCCCGCGCTCCCGAGGTCGCGCCAGCAGAATCCCCGAGTGACGCCCGCCCGCCCTGTCCGCCCCAGCCCGAGGCAACCGAGGAGGCGACAAAGCCGGACAAAGAGGCAACAAGGGACACCCTGCCTGACAAAGAGGCAACAAAGGAAGAGGCTGAAGAGGAGGCGGGCGAGGAGGCTCAAGATGAGGACGTGCCAGTGGAGCAGCTGTCGGACGACGACAAGAGGGAGGAAGAGGTTGAGGCCCTGCTCTCGCAAGGCGACCCGAAATGCTCCATATGCAAGAAGGAAACGAATCCGCTTGCACAGGGTTGTAGGATCACCCATGGCGGCACGGTCATCACGTGTGCCGCGCGCAGGGTACGCGACCAAACACTTCGAAGGATTTTCGGCGGGTGGCCGATTACGGAGTTCGACGAGCTCACCACGGATGAGCAGGATCACTTCTACCAGAATTGCGGGTCAGCCGCTGCTGCTTGCCGCGACGCGATGAAGGGTGTGCTGATGAATGTGCGCATGAAGCGCATCACGGAGACCCACGCTGGGCAATTCCTGCCCTTGTCTGTGTACGAGAAGCTGGGATACAACACGAAAGATATTGAGGAGAAAACACAGGCTGCTGACATCGAGGATCATCCAGTTCTCGGGAAGACGTACCGAGTTCAGATCCACGAGATCTCGGAGGCCAAGATCAAGGAGGTCACCATGCAGGAGATAGTTAAAAAAGTTGGCCGCAATCGCAAGCGCAGAGCGTCAGCCTTCCTGGAGGCTGCCGAGGAAGCTGAAAAGCCGCAGAGCGCAACAGCGGCAGAAGCAGCAGCGGCGCTCGAGGAGGCTCCAGCGGAGCTGCCGAAGCAGAATGGCTCAAAGAAGCGCCAGCGCAGCAGCAGCAGCAGCGACAGCAGCATCAGCTCCAGCTCCTCGGGCTCCGACAAGAAAAAGAACACGAAGAAGGGCAAGAAGGGCAGGAAGGGCAAGAAGGGAAAGAAGGGCAATAAAGGCAATAAGGACAAGAAAAACAAGAAGGACATGCACGATGACGAGGAAGAGCTTTCAGGGTCTGACGCGGGCCTCAGCCCAAAGGAGCTTGCGGCCAAGCGCAAGGCGAAGCTCGCAGCAGAGAAGAAGGCGGCCCGCGAGGCTGAGAAGATTCAGAAAGCCATGGACAGGGAGATGGCCAACGAGGAGGCAGCCCGCAAAAGGGGGGAACAGAAGAAGCGCACCAAGGGCTTGCAGACCGCTAACGAGGTGCTGTTGGCGGTGGAGCCATTGCTGAAGAAGACGGGGGATCTTCTGCGCGATGAGCGCGCGAAGAAGGCGACGGAGTCAGATCGGATCTGACGATGGGGAGGAGGAGGAGGAGGAGGAGGAGGAGGGGGGGGCGGAGGAGGAGGAGGATGAGGCAGAGGAGGATGAGAAGGGAGAGGAGGAGGAGGAGGGGGAGGAGGAGGGGGGAGTCGCCCCCTCTCATTTCAGGCGCCGACGACGTACACTGAGGCGGCCACCAAAAAGCAAAAGTTTCTGAATGATGTTGTGGAGCATTGCAACAAGTGCCTGGAGGACGAGGATGTCGTCCCAGACGTCAAGGAGGAGGAGGTTAAGACGGCTGTCAACTACATGACGTCGTGGACGAAGAATATCAAGGCTGCTTTCGAGACGCAGTCGTGGGCCAAGAAGAAGTGATCCACTGGGGCTCTGGCCAGATCACTCCGGAGAACGTCTCCATCGACGGGTTGGTTACCGATGGCATGACCGTGGCGGTAGCTACCTGGACTTCTGAGCGTGCTTGCAGGGGCACGCAGCGGACGTAACCGCTCTCGCGTGGGATATATAAGGAGCTCGTTGCTCATCTTGCTAGCGTCGTATACATCGGGAGCTGCTGCGTTGCTCCTCTCAGCAGTCCGCGCCGATGCAGTTCCCATAGCAAACGCGCTTCCCTCCTCCTCCCCCTCCCCCTCCCCCTCTTCCTTCTCCTCCCCCCCCCTCCCTCCTGCATGAGTTGACCGCTTATCCCTCCTCCCCAACCGCGGAATGCACCATGACGTTGTCGCATGCAGCCGCGGCGCTGCCGCTTTGCTAATGATGGCGTTTTCACTTGCAGCGGCATTGCCGCTTTACTTGTAGTTGCATTGCAGCGGCATTGCCGCTTTGCTATAGTGATGTCCTTCTCATCTTGCAGCGGCATTGCCGCTTCGCTTGTATTTGCACCAGCGCAGCGGTCTGACCGCTTCGTTGCGCCTGCGCGCCCATGCCAATGCTTCCGCTCAGCGCTGCCTCAACCGTGGCGCTGGCCCAGGCCAGCTTTCGCCCGAGCCAGCTCGGGCTCGAGCCAGTTTTTGCTCGAGCCAGCCTCATCTCCGACGAAACGTTCAAGCTCCGACGCGGGCGAGAACGTCTCCAAGAGGTCGCGCGCATTGGCTCCGCTGATTGCCTCGTTTAAAGCGTCGAACGCGGCAGCGATCGGCATTGCACGCTGCTTGAAGGAGCAGCCAGAGATCATCGACGACATGGCGAAGTGGAGGATCAGAAAGGCCAACGATGAATTCGCATCAGCATTTCTGGATGCACCAATACAGCTGAACTTGGCAAGCGGCGCGGCCTTCGACATGCCCGCCGTCAATTTCGCCAGCCTCCTTCAACGCTGCGCTTCCGAATCTGCGAGCTTCAGAAATTTGCCGCCCACAACTTTAAGGAAATTCCCGTGCTCCCCAGCGGCGCCGCGGGACTTCATCTTGCACATCGATGAGTTCGTGCCAGGCAATGTCTTGCGGCAAGATGACAAACGCAAGACGCTCTCGTTTTACGGGAGCTTCCGCTCTGTCGGCCCTGACGCGGCGTCGTGCGAGGGCGCTCGGTTGCCTCTCGCTTTTGTTCGCCACGCAGTGGTCGATAAGGTTGCCGGCAAGATGTCTGGAGTCGTTCGCCAACTGTTGCGACGACTATTTTTTGGGCCCAGACAGCGCGTCGCAGAGGGGCATCCTCATTGATGGCATTGGGCCTGGCGGCGCCCCTGCGCTCATCTTCTTTAAGTTGTCGAACCTGCTTTACGACGAAGATGGCGCTAAAAATGCCTTGCGCTTGAAGGGCGCCGCCGGCGTAATTCCTTGCGCTCTGCGCAAGAATGTGCGCGGCATATACGACCACTCGGAGCCCCTGCTGTCAGCGCATGACAGGGCGAGCACGCTGGTGCCCATTTCGTGCTCTGATCCCAACCTGTTCGACGCGCGCACCGCGGATGACCTGTTCTTCCCCGCGGACCTGCTCCAGCGTCTGCAAGCCGCGCTGCCCAAGGGCGCGTTCGAGGAGCAATGCAAGATGCACGGCGTTAATCACGCGCCAGATGGTTTGCTATTGGACGCTGAGCGTCGCCAGCACGCGTCGCTGGACATGCACGCGTACGACCCAGCACACTGCATGATCATAAATGGGATCGCTCAGATTGAACTGAGTGAGTTTCTGTGCCGCCTCGCTGCCGTCGGCCTGACGTTGGAGCGCTTCAGGGACATCGCCAGCGCGCAGTGGCAGACTTGCAGCTCTTCAGCGACCAGCGGCATGCTGGAGGCCAGCGGGCTTCTCAGCGACCAGCGGCAAAAGCACTTGCAGACCAGCAAGAAATACAGCGCCAAGGCGAGCGAGATCATCGCGGCCGTTCCGCTCATTCGGTGCGCTCTCGATGTACTTACCGCTGGGTCCGCTCAGTTCATTCAAGCTGGACTTTGCAAAGGAGCTGGCTTCCTTTGCCGCGCTGGCCAAATCAATTTCTCTGTATTTGCTGGCCAAGAGGGGCGCGGCTGTGGCAGATGCTTGGGCCGTGGCGCTCCGCGACCACGCCGTGGCATTCGAGTCTGCGCACGGTGATTGCGGCATGCGCATCCCGAATTTTCATTTCGGCAGGCACCTGCCGCGACAGGCGCTCAGGGATGGGTTCGCACTTGACACGCTTGTGACGGAGAGGTACCATGCACAAGCACTGCGGGTCGCTGAATTCATCGGCAACACGCGGTGCTTCGAGAAATCATTACTGACACGAGCTATTGCCCTTCAGCGCCACGATGCGCAACATAATGTTTCATTTGGGAGTGCCTCGGCGTGCGGCATCACATACAACGGCGTCATGAACGTTTCGAGGGTCGTTCTTGCGGGTGGCTCTCGCATATCAGCTGGAGATATTCTGCGTATTGGTGAGAAGCGCTATTTTATCCTCGGCGGTGCCGAGGAAGGCGGCAACGTGGCGTCGATTGTTCAGGAGTTGCATTCTATTTTGCCAGGCGTTGCCCAGCGCCTCACGGCGGCGAAAGGACGGCGCCCCGAAGTTCGCGCAGTGCGACTCCTTCATGGCGCAGCCTCTCTGGACGCAAGAAGCTTCTGGAACGCTGTCATTGGTGGATATGGCATAAGTACCCGCAGGCGCCGAAGTGCCTGCAAGCGTCGAGCGCTGGCGCGATTGCGCTTGCCAGAGCATTTCCCGAGAAAAAAAAGCGCAATCGGCAACCGCTGTCGAGATTTAACGGCGCGACCGCTTCGCGAGGCTACCCGAGGGAAGACAAGGGGGCGAGGAGGAGGAGGAGGAGGAGACAATCGGAGCGGCGCGACCGCTTTGCCACTTTGCGAGGCTATCCAGGGGGGGGGGGGGGGGGGGGGGAGGGAGGAGGAGGAGGAGGAGGAATGAGCAGGAGGAGGAGGAGGATGAGGAGGTGGAGGAGGGGGAGGAGGAAGAGGAGGAGGAGGAGGAGGAGGACGAGGAGGTTGAGGAGGACGAGGACGAGGAGGAGGACGAAAGGGAAGAGCGGTGCGTCCGCTTTGCCCCTCATGCCCCGATCCTTCGCGCGCGATCGCTCTGCGGGGCCATCCAAGATGGCGATGAAGCGCCTTGAAAGGTCGGTTCTCCCAAAACACAAACCTGAGAAGCCACCAATACGCCAAATGCGCACGGTAGAGAAAGAGGGAAGCGGGAGGAGAGGCGGGAGAGGGAAGAAGCAGAAGAAAGGTGAAGCCCAGCCCAGGATTGAAACCCATGATACTGAAAGAAATCATGAATGACAGATTGTCCGATGTCCCAAACGAATCCCACCACAAGGTCTCTCTTGCTTTGAATGAAGATGAGAAAAATGAGAAACGTAATGCAAGATAATGGAGTATGCTCAAATTGATCAACAATATCTTGAGTGACTTGAGTAACTCTTGAAGCCAATCTTGAAGGGCATATGGTCCCAAGGTCTGAAGTAAGTAAGAAGTGAAGAAATCTTCCATTGAGCCCCATGAAACCCATTGAGCATAAGTAGCAACCAAGACGGAAATATGTACTGAAAGAGAGTCTGAAATAAAAACTGAATGTCCCAAGCACGCAATGAACCCAGAAGATACGGAGGCATACAAAATGGATTGTCAAAGCCGAGTGAGAACTCAACCGTGAGAACCCACCCCAGGCATATCAAGACATATGGAGTAAGGTTGAATTCAAACAAGTATGGAGGACGCAAGATGGCTGGGAATGTTTATAACCTTTTGTATTTTGCCAACCAACAACGTTGAAGAACATGCAGGAGAGATTGAGGGAGCCTGAGAGTCCTCCAAAGCCGCAGGCCCATGCACCGCAGACGCCAGGAGGTTCAGTCTGTCGGAGTCCCAGGAATGGCCTTCACGGGTACTTCCAACGCCACTTTTCCACAAAGAAGTCTCCGTCCCACCAGTAGTCAGACAGGTACCATACAACTGGGTGAGGCCAACCCGATTCGGGGTCGAACCACGTGTCATAGTACTCCGTATACCAGACTTTGGTGTAGACTTTTTCCTCTTCACAGTAGTTCCACATTCCTCCTGAGCCGTGTGTCCACTTGAGACGCTTCTTGGCGGCTAGCTTGACTGGAAGGCTGCGTTTGGCCATCCCCTGGAATTGGATATGGATGTTTCCCAGCCGTCTCGGACGAGAGTTCCCGTCAGGGTTTGAGGCGAAACGGCTACTGACCAGCAGCCAGTTCTTTCCAAGGAACTCTCCGAACCCTTTCGTCGGGACCCCGAACGTTGACATACAGTCCATTAAAGCCGCTGTCCCGACAAGCTTTGAAAAGCGGGATTTTGCACCAGTCATATGTGAAATGAGGACCACCAAGGTCCGATGGTATAAGAAACCGAGCCGGCAACTTGACCACCCTTTGGAATAGCAGCGTAGAGCAGTATGAACGTGCCTCAAGATCTTGTTTAGACAGGAAGCAGACTTTGCGTTTAGACCTGCAAAGCTTCCCCTGAAAGATAACGTGAGGGTCCGACGCCTTGGGAAGTAGCATGCCGAAAGCTTGAGCCCGAGACTGCAGGAGCCGACAGGAGGCAAGGGAGGGGGAGGGGCCCATCCCCCCAAACCCCAGGAGAGAAAAACAGACTCGAGTCCCAAAACACAGAGGCATCCTGAGGAAGGAGGGATTGTTGCGAAGCCACGGTGTCCCTAAGATCGCATGGACCAGGCGGGTCCCAGATAGAATCGCACAAGTGACATCTCCTGGTGTCAGCCAATCCCCTAGGTGGGAGGCAAAGAGGGGAGAGGAGAACACAAAGAGGTCTCGATACAGACCCAAATGCAAATTCCGTGGGGCGTCAAATACCCCCGCTCCATTAGTATTGGAGCCTGTTCTCTGAGGCCGCAATTAGGTAAGATACCCAGACCTCTGAAGATTCCGTAACATTAAATTTGTGCACTTGCATTCCGTGAAACATTGCCACGGCGAACTTCCGAGTGTGAGGTGCACATGGGCCGCGAAAAAGGCGACGGTCTTTCCCGGTCCTAGCAAAAGACCCATGTTGATCAGCAAACGTCAAAATAGACCGAATGGAGCAGATGATGGGAGAAATCCCCTGAATTATGTTCCAGAACCGATCTGGGTCAACATGCCCCGCTCCCAACCCTAGCTCCATCAAATCTCCAATAAGCTCTAGCCATCGGGAAGTGTCGGGTTCCCTGTTCCACCGCTCTCTGACCATCCTCTGTACATCGGTGACACGACCAGCGACTGAGCGAAGCTCCTCCATGGACTTGGACGAGGCACTGGTAGGTTGTCGTCTTTGAAGATACCTGGCCATTTGACCCCAAATATTCCACCAGACAGTGTAAATGAAATTCCCAGGATCTGACCAGCGGTTGTCGTAGAACACTGCGCCCTTGTATGACATTGTCTTGATCTGTACAAAAGACATAGAGCGTACTGCAATTCCCACGATCCCAATAAGGTCCTTGCATGCCTTACTTGAGAAAAATTCCTCAAAGAGATTCCATAGCTGCCTGAGAGGTATCTCGAATTCGCGCCCCTTCTCATACATGTGGAGTGTGACGCATTTCCGTGGGTTGTATGATCCTGAATTTACAGGAACGATCTCGGAACTTTCGATTGCCAGTGCACGTGGGCAGGCGGATGCCCACGCCTCGAAGATACAGCACTGGAGGGACTTTGAATTCCATGGCCTGACGACCCTCTGAGGGGCAAGCATGAGAGTGTGTTCCCAGATAACTTGAGAAGAGGTTGGAGCAGAGCGGGCAAAGCGAATTGAACCAAAATGACTACAGAAAGCAGCCAGGACATCAGGACGACCGAAAGATGTGGATTCAAAAGATGGTGAGATAGAGAAAAGAGATGCACTTTATCAGGGATCGGACGGCAGTCATCGTCCTGGCCAGCGAAGTGAGATTAACAATCCCAGGCCAAACCCATTTGTACTGAAGTGAAGAAGCAAACTGATCGCCAAACTACCCCAAGGAGAAACTTGAAACTTCGAGGCCTTGGGCAAAGAGTGAGAAACAACCCCACTTAACCCCGTCAGCCGAATTGAGAAGAATATGATGCAGTCCCAGCTCATGAGAAATGGCCTGGAGGCCTAATGCCCTGAGACACTTGTAATCCCAAGCATTCCCAGATTGAATCGAAAGCCATAATCCTGGCAAAGTGATGAAATTGGCAATCCCATCCAAGCCCGTTTTGAACTGAAGTGGAGGACCAAACTAAGAGCGAAGCAATCCCAAGTTAAGAGATGTCCCATCGAGGCTGTGGGCAAAGAGCAAGAATCGACCCCACTACTTTGGCCCTGACGGACGTGTTGAGGAGAGCAGGACTTAATCCCTGCCTCAGAGAAATGGCCTGGGGTCCCACTGAAAGCCCTTGTAATCCCAGATTGATCCAGAGTTGAACCAAGAAGAGAGCTGAGGACCCTAAGGGGAGAAACACTTTAGCTGTATCTTCTGAACTGCCTCGGTTACATCAGGAAACGAGGTTTGCAAAGCAGATGGCACCTTACATTGGCACCGTTATTGCCAGACTCCACCGTGATAAGATCTCCAACATCTTCAAACATGTCCTTGACGTAGAGGAGTGCAACAATGCAGCTGCCAGCGAAGATCTGAGATTTGTCGTGTAGCCTCTCCTTCTTAGGGCAGACCTCTGGGCCAATGAACGCTTCTTTGGTATAAAACCGCGCATTGAACAAATGAATATCCTTGGAACGAAACGTGTTGAGCCCAAAGTGCCAGAGAATCTTCGTGACGTCCCTGGTAGTGAGATAGCCGTGCTCTCCCAAAACTGGGATACTGTCTGAAACCAGTGGACCTTGATTGTCGATAATGAAAGGCGTAAGCTCACGAACTGTGATGATTTGGAAGTGTTCCCCGACCTTGGCCTTGAAGGTGTTCAAACCTGTAAGCTGGGGAACGAAAGCCATAATGTAACGCCTTGAGCTGGTGTGGTCTGTGCCGCCCTTTGGGGCGAAAATTGGGCACCCTGAGTGATCGTACTCCAACTGAGACTTCAGCACTGGAGGGCCCAACTTGCTGATCCAAGGCTTCTTATCCTGTTCCCAGCTCTTTGGAGCAGGCTGCGACCTTCGGTCAGGCGAGTCGACTTCCGCTTCAGAGCCAGAGGAAAAACTCCTGGAGTCTGGTGATCCCGAAGACGGTACTTCCCAGGTAGTGCCGCCCACAGGTTTGACAGGTGTTTCCCCACGGTAGTCCTGCGTCTCTGGTAAGGCATCATCCGACTCGGGCTTCGACCCCGACCCGCCACCCTGCAGTTGTTTCTTGAACCCACCTGAGTACTGCATCTTCCTGGCAATCGGTGAACGGCTCCGAGACGCAGAGTCTCCCCTGTGCACAGGTGCTGGTGGCGGCGTGGGGAGTATCCTGGCTTCGCGAGGGTCAGCACTGGAGGATGCTTTGGCCTTGAGACCCTGATTCTTGAACTCGACTGTCCTTGCTTGGTCATCCTTTTTCTGTTCGAGCTTCTTCTGCAGCTTGACTTTCTTCTCATTCGAGGTAAGCACGGGC